GGCCCAGCGCCCCAGCCTCAGCACGATCCTCAGCTGCTGCTCCCTCGCCCCGGGAGCCAGGGAAACAGGGAGCAACGGAAGCTGCCCGTCAGCTGGGCGGAGCTCCCTGACTTCAATAAGCTCCGTAGCAGATGCAGTGGCCTCTAGATGGCACTGGCACACCACCCAACCTGCCGCCGGCCCGCCTGGGGCTTCTCGCCCTTCCGCCGGCCTGAGCAGCTCCACAGTCGCTGCGGCTGGTTGCTGAGTGGTGGCTGAGATGGTATTTTAAGAACAGTATTTTTAGAGCACCGTTAATGTCTGGCGTCGCAGAGGAGAGACCATAGCCATTTCATTCCCTGGGTGGATCCGATGAGGAATGTCCCATCGCTATGTAGGTCTGCATGCACCGAAAACACTTCCTTTTTCCTCAAAAGTGCTGCTGAGAACAGGATAGCAAGCCTGCAAGTGCTACTTTTCCCCTCTTAAGTATAGTTAGTATCCTCCTCATCTGTCATTCAGTATTTCTCCTGCACTGGCAGAGTCAGGGGTACCCCTGATGGGACCCACAATCTGTCATATCCCCTTCCCCAGAATCTAGGGAGGAAGATCATCTCCTGGTCCCCTGTGACAGGAATTCACTCTATCTTCTTTAAGAATTAATTTTTCTTCCACTTTCCAGTATTTCATTTCCACACAGTCATTCCTCATCACCTGTCCTTGCCTTTACCCCAGTAGTCAATATCACTGTTGTTATGAAATTCAAAGTAAATTTTAATCTGGAGGCCAGATTTCAATGATTTTGTGTATTGACCTGACGTAATTTCATAGTTTATTCACTTCTGCTTTCTTTGTTTTCCTTTTATTCCTGTGCCTGAATCACCTTTTACCATTTAACTTTGAAAGGCCTAAGTCAAGTTGACTTTTGCCAGTTCCCGTTTTAACCCTGCGCTTTGCAATCTCAGAGTTGTCTTCACTGAGATGTTCTTTTTTTTCCTTTCCCTGTATCTGCAGTTGCTCCCAGTCTCCTTTCTGAAGTGAATATTCAGCCAGTCTGATCTGGAACTCCCTCACACAATACTTCCCCTTTGACTGGAGTACACATTTCACGCAGTCTCTGCAGCTTAAAGAGAACTTCCAGCAGGTTTGTCTTCGATAGCCTGAGCTCCCCAACCCAGGTGACTTCAGTAACCAGCTTGGTAGTGTGCCCTTTTGAAATGAAGAACCGGTGGGCAGCATGGTCACCAAAACCAACTTAGTTATGTCAGTAAAATGCTGTGCTTAGGCTAACATTTTTTTCTGCTAACAATTCTTTTCAGCAGAAAAATTAGCCGGTGCATGCAGAAACCCCTCACTAATGACTGCATTGCTACTACTCGTTCCGTTAGTGCTTACTTTTGCTGACCTCTGCACTGGGCTGGGATGACATGCTCTTGGTTACAGACTTACACCTCCATTTAATATAAAGATAATTAATCTGCTGTTGTTCATCCAGGACTCCTTTCTAGAACTTCAGTATTTAACAAAACAGTCTATTAAACCCCATTTTATTGGTTTAGTGACTACTTGGTGAAATATCATCTGTGTTCCTAACTCACAGTGTATAACTACTGTTAGTAGCATTTGCTTCCCAAGCTATATTTAAGAAACCAAAGGACCACAGTATCCCTGTAATAGCAGAGGTTTTCATTCCCATCTAAAACCAATATTCCTTTCTAACTCGACTTTCCTTTCTCTGCCTCGCTATGGTACGCAGCCAGAGAACATTGTCAGAGGGGTCACTTAGATTGAAAGAGTGGCCATGAGAATGGTGTTTGGCCCCAAGCATACAATGCAGTTTAAAGAAATGTGGTCTTTTCTCACTGGAATAAATAAAAGTGTCCGCACAATGGATTGCAGCAGCTGTTTAATTTTAGGCAAAGACCTTTTAACTTTTCAGCCTTTGGACCAAGGAACACTAGATGTCTTTAGGTTACTAATCCAGCAACTCAGTTCTCATTTATGCTGAGTCCCTGCCTTTCTAGCTGGTGTCTAAGGGTTCTGCACTGCTAAAAACAGCTCAAGTGTTTGACTAATTTTAGAGCCTCAGATATGAAAAGCTTGGCCACAGCTCATCCACAAAGTCTAGCCAGAGCCTTGCTGCCCCACTTTGACACTGAAGTGAGGTAAGTAGCGGTTTCCAAAGTGAATATCCCAGGAGCAAACACTGTACTCTACCTTCCCCCAGCTGCAGAGCAGGGTCCATGAGCTCCATCATATACTCCACATTCAGAAGCACTTCAGTCAGGTTGCTGCGGGCCAACACATACATGAGCACGGGGAGGAAATCATCGGCACCATACGGCTTCCCTGAGCAAAGAGAAACACAGAGTGGTCCCAATAAACTCACCACAAAGATGTGTTCCCACACAACAGCGACAGCTTCTCACCCAGCATGTCCTTTGCAGACTTGAGCTTATGTTATCTGAAGAGTTAGAGCTCGAAAGCACCAGCAAATAAAAATGCTGAAAAAGGGAAAGTTAGTTCACTTAAGAAGTAAATAAACTTGTTTCAAGCTCAAAATATGAGCTTGAAAATTTTTAGTGAGCTCCATTTCTCACTGTCTTTATTAACTGGAGAAAGAGAAACTTAGATTTCATGGCTAACAAACAAGGTACAGTTCTTGAAGAGTGCAAAGACTGCCAGCTTAGCCCTCTGATCTGACACGGCCATCAAGACTGCAATTCAGGTTTGCAATAGTAGCAGCAAAGCTGTCCAGATGCATTAGGGGTATTTTTTATCCTAGGTTTGGTCTATGTGTGGGTCTAAAGAGCAGAAAACAGAATTTGAGACAGTGGATTTTAGGACTGAGGACTTCCGTGTTTATGTTCCTTCAGAAGGCAAAACATCACGCTACATGTTCCTAATTAAAATAGTCTCCCAAGAGCTAGGATCTAAGAGGAAGAATCTTTCCAGCCATGGTGTTTAGCTAAGAAAACAAAAAAGCCTTTCACATTGGAATTAGACTAGTTTTGGACTTGGTGTGCAGCAGGTGCTACAGGAACAGATCCTCATGGTCTCAAGATTTCCTGTGCTTAAAACATTCATATCAACAAAATCACCAAAGTGATCTGATATGTGATCTGTAAAAGCTCTTTGAGATCTCTGAGGACAAAAAAGCATACATGTTAACAGCCATCATTATAAATAATCACTACTTAAAATAGAATACAACCTGAAGCTTCAGTGTATAAACAGCAAAGAATACAAGGATAACTTTTCTTATTTGAAAGATGCTTTCACTTTCTACCACCATGTCATAAATACATCACGGACTACCTGTAATAACGAGTTGTTAACAAGCCTACCTTCCCGACATGCAGGGTTGACCATTCTTCTTAACCTAAGCCCAGACTGCTTTCCTTCCAAATGCTCTCCCTCAGACGGTGGGCAGATTTCCGCACCTGAGCACTTGGATGGGTTGGTTTCATGGGCCATGTGTGTCTCACTCGAGAACCATTTGACTCACCTCCAAGAGTCAAAGCTACACTTGATGTACCCTCGGTGAAACTGTGCCCTAGCCATTTTTGGCCCATATTCCACATGCCCTTCCACGGTAGGGCATAAATTCCTATTTCTCAAATGTTCCCACTGACTTATTTCAAATCTTTGCCGTGAGTCAACTTTCCTGTCATTCATAGCTGATGCAGATTCTCCACTGGTAAAGAAAAATACTATTCTGAAGTCTCAAATAAACATGAGCTTACCCCTGATTAAAAAGTGTGGCTTTAAAATAAACCCAGGAACATATCTAGTGAACAGAGAGACGATCCGGTTGCAACAAAGGGTTGAAGGATAAGGGATTGTCAGGGCTGCAATTCAGTCTGTTTCTAACAGAGTCCACACACGGCACAACATAGACAATTTATTTGATGAAAGCTGGATTAACTCTTTCAATACTGTTTGTTTTATTATGGCTGCCTTTAGTTAAATGACACAGCCTTAGGTCTTCAACCAAACTGTAGGAGGACTGCATTGTTTCATTAGCATCTGGATGGAGATTTTGTTTGTCTGTTGTTGCCTTGGCTTTTGTTCCTGTGAAAGCTTCAGGGTCCAATTCATTACCATCATATATATTACCATAACACAAGCAGCTCAGTATTACAGCTATTTAATATTGTCTAGCAAAAAATGACACAATTGAGACATGAAAATGTACTAGAAAAACTGCACATAGAAAAGCCCTATTCTTCTTTTGAGCTGAGTAAATCAGATGCCAGCAGTCGGTTCTGCATAAAAGTAGTGTAAAGGAAGTTGAAGCACCAAAGAGTTTGCTAGGCTCCTTTTTTCTTTCCTTAAAAACTTCTTCTTTATGATGTAGTAGTTAATGCCCAGTGGCATGGATTGGGTGCTTCTAATTTCCTGAAGGGCAAGGGATTTCCAGTGTGACATCAATAGCACATTTTCCCCTACCACTTCTTTTTCATAACCAATCCATGTTGTGTCTATGAAGACATCCAAGGAAGTTGCTACTTCACAACATGAATTCCTATCCAATGGAAAAAAAATGCCGATCGTTTTTTTATAAATGCCATGAAAGAGATCACCAACCAGTCAAAGGACTGACCAACCAATACAGAGTGGAAACAGCAACTTGTAACTAAACACTTCTGTGTCCCCAGCCATCAACTTCTAGTGTCAACTGAAATAAAAGTTAGAAGATAATTTTCAAGAACTCCTATAGAATCTCTCTGGTTTTTTATTGGCTGAGAAGTGATTGTACATACAACAGGCACCTAGTCAATTATTTTTCATCGCTGTCCATCTCATTTCTATAAACTGATTTAGCTGCTCTGCCCACCAGCCCTTGTTATAAACCTTTCTCATCTTTAAGATTTCACAGACATATTATTGGACTTCCAGCTGTTTATATGGATTAAATACAAAAATCTGATATACACGTTTTTTGATTAATAAACTCAGAGTAGGGATGTCTGTCTGCAGTAATGGAAGGAGTACCCATTCTCCATATGCTGTATACTCATAACCTGCAGAAATTGCTGGACATCATTTTAATCCGCTTGTGGGAATATGAAGCTGATTCTTAAATACCCACATCTGTAGCTAAAGTGAAGTCATCAGGAACTGTAGGTGTCAACAAGAGAAAAGCAAAACTAATCAAGGTCCAAGCTCTGATCCCCATGTTGTCACAATCTTCCAGCATTGCCTAAGGCAGGTCAGGCAATTTTGTGCCTACTCCTTACAGGCATTGCAACAGCTTCTCTCCACTGACTGCACATGGAGCCAAGGATAGGTACCTGAGAGGGCAGGACTCTGACCCTCTCCTTGTTCTGCTGGCCTTGGATGTCACAGCAGGCACAGGGACCAGCTGACAGGTACAGCTGTCAGACCAAGTATGGCCCTGAGATGCCCTGTATCATGGGGGATAATAGGTGCTGTCAGCAACTCAAATATGACCACAGACAGAAGGCACCAAGCTATATGAAGCAATGCCCGTGAACCAAGACACCCGAGAGGTTGGTGCTGCTCAGCATCCTGCAGCCCACAGGCTCCCTGTGCCATGAAAGGCACCAGAGTACTAACCAGCATCCGTCTGGGGGATGCAGCAGGGATGATCTCTGCCTTCTCAGCTCCACCTTCAATCTGGGCCAGAGCCAAGCTCCCAGACCTGCATGTCCAGCTCCATCTGTGGTGACTCACAGAGGGGTATGTTTGCAGCTGCCGGAGTTAAATCTACCTCTGACCCTGCCAGTGGTCTCAGTGACACTGGGACTGAGCTTGCTTGTTCAAGGTGGTGTTGTCCTGCTCCAGATATGACTTGCTTCCTTTATTTTTCCCTCTTCCCTGCAGGATCAGGAAACATTTATTTCATAAATATCTATAAGAAGCTTAAAATAAGCCTTCTCTTCTGTCACAAACTCATCCTATTATGTTCATAGCAAAGCAAATACAACGTCAGCTCCTGGCTGGGATGCAGTGCTTGAATAGAACGGGTATTAATTAAATACATGATTTAAAGCAACTGGAATTCTGCCCAAGCCTCCATAAAGAAATTACAGCCTATTTTAACACATTCATGCATTTCTTTTCCCTCCATGTATATTCTGACAACCAGCAGACAGTGATGATGCTCTGCATCTTGCTCTAATATTTTATGAACGCTGACATGATGTCTATCAGCAGCTGTCCAGGAAATATGAATTTTAGCCTCAGTTTATAGCTGGGAAACCTGCGGTACAGAAAGGTTAACTGAGATTTGTTCAAGACCCTAGGAAAAGATTGTGACCATCCTTCCACTCACTAGCATTTTGCAGTCTCTTGACTATCCCATACTACTTCAGCAAGGTTTGATTTATGGTATAGTTGAATTAAGAGAGTTAGTACCTGCAGGCAGCATGAATCTATTCCAAAAACATGTTTTCCATATCAGAGGAATTAATTCCCCTTGAAATATTTGAACTGGCTCTTTAATTCAAATGTAGAAATTGTGCTAGCCAGAAAATTATATAATGTCTAGTCCATCAGCCTTTATTAATAGTAACTTAAATACTAATATCTTCTTCCTAAATATAGCAAAGTGAAACTATTATGTATAGTTTTATTTTCTTTCTCAGAAGTGAGATGTGATAATGAGCAGTGTGCTGGGTTTGCTCTGACTTAGTTTTAGGAGCTTCTAGTACCGGCTGTGCACTGACTGTTGAAGTATTGGAGGCCAGTTTCCTTTTCACAGTCTCAGTTATCCCACTGAAGACACACACCGCTTCCTGCCCATGCCTTTGTCAACTGCAGAGCCATATAGGAGTGCATCAGGCCAACTAATATCTGGCTGCTCAGTTCTGAAAGCGTTGACAAATTTAATCCTAAAAGCTAGGGAAGAGAAATATTCCTATAGAATATATGTCCTATCTAGCCTCTTTTCTCAAAAGCAGACTATGCATTAGCCATGCAAAACTATGGGCCAGTCACCTAGCAATCAAAACCAGTACAGAACTGGTTTTGAACTATATACTCTATCTCCCTGTGTAGTTCAAAGATACTCCAAAAATGAAGCTTCATAACCTTAGGTAGTCTACAAGTTAAAAATGTTGGACTAAGGAAATTTTTCCCCTGTTCATTCTTTTTGAATGGCCTTAGAAAGCAGTCTCCCCATCTTTCAACCTTCCAACTGAAGCTTAGAGCCCTTCCATGCTGGATCTGCCCCACTCACGATCTGACCAAGTTTGGCCTGCTTGTCTCACACAGCATTTCTTTATAAACCAATGCTTACTGCTCCTCTATTTTTGCTTTACCATCAGCTCTCTTCCACAGAGGGGTAGCTCCCAGGTAGCACAAGGCTGGGTGCTCCAGGCTCACCACTGTCAGTACACATCACAAATATTGCAGATTTGCATCTTATTTCTCACTCCACAAGTGTCATTTTTGGTTTTGATAGACCAAACGGCAGAGAATCTCATTCTACTCCTACCACACAATAAACCTTTCACATTTTGTCTCAGTAAACGTATTTCTGAAAGATAAATAATAAGCAGTTTTTTCTACATAAGATTCCTGCGCTTCAATAGGAGTCAGCTACGTGCTCGACTCTCGCCATGGGCACGTACATTTGGGGCATGCCTTCCAAATGTAGGAGCAGTCAGAGAGTTGGGAGCTTACAGCTCCCCGTGTGTCCTGCCCCTTACTTTTTCTAGTGCATAGATTAAAAAAAACACCCCACACACACACAAACAAAAAAAGCCAGCCAGTTTGGCAGAGAGGGTGAGCGGGTTTCCAAACTCTTCTTTTTCTATTCTTTTAATGCATATTAATCTTACTAAACACTCCTAGTAATTTTAGCAGACAGGTTACATATTTTTAGATTGCGGGTTACGTTCTTGGAGGCATATGTTGCTGCTAAGTTTGCACAGAACTTGGAAAAGCTCAGTGAGACACCACAATGCTATCATAATTTTCCCTCTGGGGAGGATTCACTTACCAATACCACTGCCTACACTATACATGTAAACATCTGAACCAGTACCCCTAGACTCCTTCTATAGCCAGTGACGAACACATCAATATCATCAGTGGAGTACGTCATGAGTCATCTCACCCTAAAGCAGACACCTACGTCTAGCTAAATGAATCCACTGAACTCCATCGACTAAGTCCCCCTTGTCTGTTATGAGAAGCTGGACATGATACCCATCTGTGGCCACCTACAGCTAGATGCAGCCGTACAAGAGTCCTACTTCAACACAGATCCCTATCTTGTACTCAGGCCTGTTGGTAGAAAAGTGTATTGACAAAGACTGGGAACTCGACTTCCCAATTCCTTGTGATGTATCAGATCCACAAGTTGATTGCCTTCAACTTGAGGGAGAAATGCTAGTCTAAACCAGCTGAGGATCCGCCTGTTCAGTTCATAGTCTAAGTAGCAAGGGGTTCAACCACAGCCAATTTTTCAGGCATATTTTGTCATGACTTGCAATCAAACCAAAGAACTCCTTTCTTAAAATGGTCTGATATACATGGAGTCAGTCAAGGCTGACTTCAAAGTTTCATAACTCTTTCAGCAGTGCAAAGATGGGCACCACAGACACAGCTGTTCCTGAGTCATCCTATCCCCAGTTTTGAGGAAAACTTGTCATCTGTTGGGACACCCTAGCTAAACCCTGACAGTAGTATATGGGTCTCAAAATGTTAAAACACTTGTGTTTTCATATGGGTCTGAAATAATGGTGCTTGATTTGGTGGTATTTGCACTTTTCTTTGTGATACGAAACCATATTCTCAGGTCAGCTTGTCCTACGGTCAGCCTCAAGTAAATAAAGACCTGGCCTGAGCTGCCAAATTGCAAATTAAATCAGACAACAGACAACAGAAGTAGTTATCATGTTTCCAAACACATAATTTTTTTGACAGAGGTAAACTGATTTTGGCCCTGTGGCAGAGGCAGTGACTAGTTTTGTGTTCTACCTGCTCTGACCTAGGATGAGGAGGGAACTCACTAATTCAGCAGTGAGTAAAAGGAGCTAAAAGAAGAACAGACTATTGCACAGGAAGCGAAGCATGGCCTCTGCTCTTCCTGTGCTAAGAGCACTGCGCTGCCTCAGGGCTGGCTGAAAGCAAAAGGGGCCCTGGGCCGCGGCTCTGAGACAGGCAGAGAGTGGGAGGAGAATTCCTACCCACCGAAATCTGGTCAGAGCAGCCTGCAGTGTGCTCTTCTGCACACACCAGCTGGGAATTCCCTGTCGGAAAAACATTTCGGTTTGCTGAATGTTTGTCTTTGCCAGGTGGAAAATCAAAGTGATCTGGGGTCAGTTCATTCTGTTGAAAAGGTTTCCCACATTCCACTTCTAAATGGGTCTACAGGATGTTTCACTCAATTTCTCTCCAAGTCCACTGTCTTCCAGGAGTTAGACTACAGCATTCTCCTCCCCTTCACCTCTTTTTCTGGCCAAAATTCATTGGGGTGCATTTCCTTAATGTCAGACCAGTTTTCTTCTGACCAGGCCCTAATGTACATCGCTGATCCTACATACTGGAGAGGGAACTGGATGCACAGGGGTGAAGTCAGCTTTCGGCCTACACCCCACTTGCAGTAGTACTCAACAGGAGAAAACAGCTGAGCTGGCCAAACTGAAGTGCTTTGGTTAGCGTAGCAAACCACAATGAAATCCTCTGATTTCATGAATGCCCATCTTTTAATACATGTAGGGGTTTTTGAATTATTTCCCTGACCCATAAATTCTGTTACATAAAATGACACAGCGGCATTTCCTGCAACAGAGAAATTCCAGCCCTGAGCGAACTGAGGTGTGACAGACACGTAATGTACCATCAGCACTGGAAGGAGACCGTGTCTCCTGTGTGGGTTTTTATGAGGCATGCGAGTCTTTGATCTATACCAAATTTACTGTCAGACTTAACACAACTGTTTTAACAAAGTTACAGCAAATTCCCCTACATGTCCAACTCCTCTCATAATACTTGAGGACAGTCAGCAGTCCTATCGACCCTGCACCTTAGGCTCAACCCGCGGGCAGCTACTTGCTCTGTTGTCTCTAGATTAGTCAGATTAGTCACTGAACCTTGCTGCATACTGTCCAAGGGATGACCCTGAGTTGAGGATCTGGAGGGACACAACAATTCCTACATGAGTGCTCCGAGGCTGTTGTCAGTACCAAATAAAGCAGGACAGCTAAAAGCACCTTTGGAGATTGTGAGTTCTTGAGCAATTGCAGGTTGGTGCAAATTAATACCTGTCTTCTCCCCAAATTTATGCATGGCTAGTCATCATCACCAGTGTACAAAGAAAGCTCTTAAACTGGCGAGGCAGATTCCATGAGGAAGGGGCTTCCCAGTCTGTCTGCAAAAATGCATCCTGTCTGTAGGCCAAGGGCTTAACATGTGCATTTGGTGGTTGGTCTGAGGCCCAAGTATATTTATACTCAGAGCACATACTTCCTCACACCGAACAAGTGTAGTAGTGGCTTTTGGAATTTACTGGATCATCAGGAATTAGTGGCAAACACTACTAGCATTCTGGGTCATCTCCTCAATTTAGGCAAAACTTAGTAAAGGCCAAATCAAGAGACTTCCCAAAGATAAATTCCTAGAATTTACTATTAAGCTGCTACAAGGTGGGACAGAGTTCTGAGAATTTTTGGACAGCTGTGTGAAGACCTGTGCAAAAAGGACATTACCCATAAAACACACACTTACAGACATGTGGGTTTTTTGAGTTATGGAGCTTAAAGTTTACCAGGTAACATCTTATACCTGTTATTAGCATAGAGAACTTCCCCGTCACTAACCAGCCCATTTGGAACACGACCTGCGGACAGCTGATACCAAACACAACGACCATCACTATTACCTCCAATCTGAATATTACCACATCAACTGTATCATAAACCCTGTTCCTCTGACACATGGAGAAGGACCAGTGAGGGATACCATTTCAGTAGGAGTGCTGTACCTGGGTGTCCCTGAGCCATGGAATCATAGATGAGTTTGCAGGACTTCAGCAAGATGGCAATCTTCTTTTCTGGGGAGTAGGCCTTGTGCATGTTCGTGAACTTGTGAAGGATCTTTTCCAGCACAACAGTTTCAGGCACACTGGTTGTGACACCTAAGTCAGTGGTAGTTGTGTTTTGTATCACAAGTTGGTTCTCTTTCAGCTGCTGTAGAGATCCATCTTTGCTGTGGATTTCTTTTAAGTAAGAATCAATGGCTTCTTTTAAAGGCTTCAGGACACATTTGTACAAAGCCGTCTCAGCAATCACTTCTGCGTAGAGAAGGGAGAACACAAAAGTCCATGATAAATAATCAACACGGGAGTACAGGTGCAAGTAAATCTCCTAAGAATGCATAGGGTGGGTTATTCATGCACTACTGCTGTGAGCAGGAAACAGAAATTACATCCCAGAAAGTAAATGTTTCCTTCCCAACACGCTCCCAAAGTCCTGGATAGGCCTGAGATGAGCATCAACGTGCGGTCTCTGCCGCTGGAGCTCCTGCTACCAGCAGCCCTGGTTGTCTTTGCCGGGCTCCTGGCTGACCTGTCAGGCAGCAGGAGAGCCAGCTCTGGGAAGGAATGATGAACCTCACCTAACTGCTTCTTTCCACAGCCCTGCCATTACAGATGCCCTTGTGGGATTCATCTCATGTCCCTTCTTACATTCCCCTCTGACATGTCTGAGATAGTCACTTTGGGACGAAATCAACTGCACCCTCAAAACGCCCCTTTCTCCACAGTGACTGAAAAGGGGTTGTAGACACCGGCTCAGAGCTGGCACCAACATCTGCTCAGGAGTTAGTCACCCTTACTGATCAAGTGACCCTAACTTACTGATACTTCAGCCCCCTCTTACACCCCCTGTGGATGAAGACACAGCCTGTGTGGTTGAGCATTTGCCTAGTAATTAGCAGGAGAGAAAAGGAAGCATGAGAGACTGTGAGAAAGTCTGTTATCTGACTCCTACAACCAGAGGCAGAGCTAGATGGACGGCAAGGGATCCTCTTGTCACGCCTGCAAAAAGGTCACTGGCAAAAGAGTTCATTGCTCGGTCAGTGGGGAATGGAACAGAGGGCAGTAACATATATATATACGAAATGCATGTCTGTGATAAGGTAGGGGGATCCTTGCACACACCCAGCTCTACCAAGCAGAACAAGGACACTTCTTTCTGCCTCCTCTCCACCTTCCCTAATCAATATTCAAGACAGACTTGTCTGAGCTGACACTCTCTGCCTCCAAGAAAGGGGTTATTGGGACAAAAATGGCAGGTGTTACATGAGGTGCATGAGAAGTGAACAAGTAGCTCTCCACTCCTAGCTACGGCAAGCGGCTGGCAGCAGGTCTGTTCTGCTGGGGAGACTGCAGGATCAAGAGAAGGCTTTGCTGGGTGAAAAAGAAGTCAGCAGGGCCTGCTGAGATTGACAGCTACTGCCTCTGGCTCATCACTTAGCTGGGTCCCACTTAATAGTGGAGCTACAAGAACCCTGGAATCCCTGGTCAATTCTGTGGTTGTCCATGTTCTCTTTTGGGGGTCTTCCAGCTCCCAGCTCACTTTAGGCCAACTTATGGATCTCATAAATAGCTCTGCATTGGTTCTCAGGTCCTCAGGAAACAGTTTTAAGTCAAAAGAGCATGTGGGTGTATGCATGCACACTTTTTCTGTCTGTAAAGCTTTAACTGGGATAAAAGTCCTGCAGCTCTTCATATAGTCCCTCATGAATGTACATTAAACAGGCCAGTCCATTTCTTAGCAGGAGGGAAGTAGCACATTACTCCCTCACACAATACTTGATGAGAAGCAACAAAACACCCCTTAAAGAGCCAAAATACTATTTTCCTCCCCAAGGGCAAACTCTGTCTGTGGCAAAGAGAGGTGAATGATACATTTGGAGCCAGCAGTAGTCTTCTGTGCCCCTGAGGTCTGAGGAGCACAGAGTGGGATCAGGTGATTCCTCCAACCTGCTACTTGAATTCATCAGAGTCTTGTCCCTCCTTGTGAGACAGCGACTGACCCCTGACCTGGCTGCCATATGCAGAGGGCTCTCCATCCTCACTGCAGAGGGGCAGTGGACATGGAAGGCCATGGGAAACATGGCCGTGGAGAATGAAGTTGGACTTTTGTGTTTCCACCGAACCCAGGCAGCTCTTTGCATGTGTGTCTGCATACACATATATATACACACACTCTCATATTTGTATGTGTGTATATGCTATGGGTATATTCCCATCCCTGGAAGTGTTCAAGGCCAGGCTGGATGAGGCTTTGAGCAACCTGGTCTAGTGGAAGGTGTCCCTGCCCATGGCAGGGGGGTTGGAACTAGATGATCTTTAAGGTCCCTTCCAACCCAAACCATTCTATGATTCTATATGTCTCTCTTACACACACAAACACACATCTCTTCTGCTTAAACTCTTCCCTTTAAAACATTCATAATGGGATTTTCCCCCTCGTTGGTCTCACAGTTTTTAGAGCTAGTCCTCCAAGTTCTGGCAACCACAGACTGCAATTCACGCCCACCCCCCCCAGCTTTTAGGAGAAGGTTTATAATTCTGTAAAGCAGAACCTGTGTCTGCATAATCCTGCATCCCTCCTCACCTTCCCAAATCCCATCCAAGGATGAGTAAAGCACAGTCACCTACCTAACTGTTCCTCGCTGTAGCAGGCTGGGTCTATCAGTGATTTCAGCTCGGTGCTCTGCACTAAATAACTCTTCAGCTGCGTCATCATCATTCGGATTTCTTGTAGCATCTCTGTGCTGGAGCTCTGCTTTGCCATCATCTCTAAACTATAAATTCTGTAGTCCCTCACCAGGTTGCCAAAGTACGAATCCTTGTCCTGTGCCAGCTCCACTATCTTCTTCTGCAGCTTCCTGTCACTAGACAAAAAAACTGTGAAGACATTGGATAGGCTTACAAAGGACAGCCTGTTCTTGGCTTTGCCCAAGATCACGGAGTGTGTCTTTTTACCGAATGAACTACTCAGCATGTCCAGGTCATCCTCTGTGCTGCTGGTGGAGTAGGAGTCTGGCTCGGATGCTGATGCCTGAGCCACGGCACTGCCTCCCAGGCTTTCCAGCAAGGAGTGCGAACCTTTCAGTTCAGCTGAGATGATGGATTTGCGGCCATGTCCTCGGTCAGCCTTGGTGTGTGTGCAAGTGGCACCACCTGCCACTGCAGCTGAGCTGTTCTTGCACAAAGCTGGTGGCGTTGCTGTCCCTGCTACTGTTTTTTGCTTCGACTGGCAGGAGTTGGGGATCCTTGGTACCTGGGAAAGCCTCTTCCTTCTTGGTGGTGGGATAGGAGGTGCCTTTCTTTTCTCAATGGCATTGCTTTGTATCTCAGGGATGTCCTCCTTCTTCTCTTCAGGTTCGGGCTTTGTCTCCTGAAACTGCAATACAGCCCTTTCAGAAATCTCCCCAGGCATTTCTACAGCCTCTTTGCACAGCGACCTTTTGTCTCTGCTCTCTGTACTTGTGTCTTGTTTTAATTCCGTCCGTTCCCCTTTCAGCATTTCACAACTTCCAGGCTTACCCACACATCTCTCCACTGAGGTTCTCTCACACAGCCGCCTCCGTGGGAGGACAGAGGGCTGGGAGCCCTTCTTGGGGCTCACTGCTGAGGGCTTGTTGACTGAGCAGCTCTGCTTCCCTTCTTCTTCATCATTGTCACCACCCTCGATTTTAATTTCCTTGATGCTCTTTCCTAGTGGCTGAAGAAGCAGCTCGTTTTCTTCACAGGCAGTCATGGGATCCTGCCCCAGCTTCACAGATTTCTGAACGAGGGCGTGAGAAGGTGGAGGTGGAGGGGGGCGGCGGGGAGATGTCCTTTCAGTGAGCGTGGTGGCAGGGGGAAGATTGGTGCTCACAGCATGGCTTTCAGGAGAGGGTACATCTGGAGGAAAAAGGCTACTGCACTCTTCTATAAAAATAGGATTCACGAACCACAGCCTGTCATTTCCTATTGACAGCTCAATTTCACATGAGCAGTGGTTTGTGCTACTTGCAAAACACTGGGTAGACATTAAACTGTCTGCTTGGGCAGTGCTGAGAGCAGAGTCTTTTGCAGGGTGGGATAACCTCGCTCCCGTTCCTCTGTGGTTTAAGGAAGAATCCCAGAAATCTGTCCAAAAAAAAAAGAAAAAGAAGGAAGAATGAAAAGATGTGTTCCAAGAGAGCTTTAGCTAACAGTAGCTACCAAAGTCCTACTTTTAAATCAAAGAAACCGGGTACCCAAGCTTTCACACCTCTGCACAAAAGAGTGTGAATAAAGGGTTGCCTGTTTATGTGTGTGAGGTGCTTCAAACCAGGTGACACACTCAGACACTTCACAGAAACCTCCTTCTTGCCAATTTAGGACACTCATCTAGTGAAAACTCTTAATGCTGTGCAGCCTATGCAGTGTGAGCAGGAAAGTACAAGTAAAAAATATGAATGATTGTGAAACGGAGTCTATGGCTTGTTTGGTGAACACTGTTTTCCAAATGCAAATAGCTGTGGCTATCTGAGGTGAGGGTGTGAAGACCCCAGGTGAGTTTTGTCTCCCTCTTGCTGACTGTGGGAAGATGCAGGGCTGAGACATACAGTCTGGGTGCAACGTGCACTGGGACCACAAGAGACATCAGACGAACATGACTCTACTATGCAGCAAGCTTACGCGCAGTCTGTTCTACACAGAGGTCTGATCCTACTTTGCAGTACAGCCAGTCTGGAAACACAAGATTTTAAATACCTCCTACAGATTAAAATTACTATTAGCATCTATGGATCAGGATGATAAATGGCATAGCCATGCCCTCTCTCTGTCTTACTTTGCCTTGAGACTGCCTGCCTGCAGGCCTAAGAGGAAAGATGGTGCAAAAGACACTGTACACAGGGAAGTTGTATACTGAAGGACTAAAGAACAGTTTTCAGTGCCATCAGCTGTGACTGGAAAAGGAAGATGGTGTTTCAGATGCAAGCAGTCATTTCTGTATGTCATGAAATATTAGAATTTGTCTTTGAATAACTTGTTTTAATACAATTACAAAGCATTTGTACATCTTCTGAATAGATTCAGTATCACATTTAACCTTTTTCCCATCCCTCAGAGGTGAGTTTTCAAACCTGCTTGCCAATCAGTCTGATTGCTTTTAATCACTCTTAAAGCTGCTAGTCCAGGGTCCACTACTGGAAGCATCAGGAAACAGCATCCTGCAGACCCCATGTGTTCTGACCAAGGAAAAGGGTATAAACCTCTGGGGTATTCACCGGGTGACAACTGTATAGTTGCGCACATACTCAGGGAAAAGTGGAAGATGGGAAATGCTGGAAACACAAGGATGCAGATAACTAGATAACTATTCTAGCGCAGTTGGTCCCTGGACACAGATGCTGACGGCACTCCTCTGGGTGGACTCAGAGGGGACGCGTGTGGGGCTGCTGCACAGTGCCTGAACACTGTCCTGTGGTGTCAAGACTGTCCCACTGCAAAAATATCACCTGCCAGGCCCGGGGGGACACATGGGACTGGACAAGGGTGGGATGACCCTCAGTGCTGGGCCCTCGGTACAGCCCTCAGGACTGTGCCTTCAGCTGTGCCTTGCCAGGACCTGTCGGCTGCAGCAGCATAGCCCCCAGCCCATCACCGGGAAGGGGGCACAGGGCTGAGCTGGCCAGAGCCCTGGGCAGGGTCTGCCTGTGCCTCTGCCTTAAAACCAGCACCGCAGAAAAGCTCCAAGGGATTTCTAGTTAGGAAGGTTGTAGCAGAACTCAAAACAGAGCCAAGAAACTCTCCAACTAAAGCCAATGCAGCACTTGGGGGTGAAACACATTCAGATAAAATCTCTCCCTTGCCCACTGCATCCCCAAAGACAGACCACTTCTTCCCGTTTTGCTCCCCGGTGCAGCCGTGACTTTTGATATCTTCCCGCTTGCAGCCAGCTCCACGCCGTTGCTGGCAAAGCCGCCTTCTTTCTGCCGCTGCCATGACCTGTCCTCTGCAGGGCTCTGCCTTTCCCCCTTGGTGACCCGAGCCCACTGGTGGCCTTGCCTCCCTCTGCCATCGCCGTGGTCCCCTGGGGCACAGCCATCTGCCCCAGGGATAGAGACTGTCCCTTCCACAGCAAGTGCAAGTGCTGCAGGCAGAGCAGGGCAGGCAGGCTGACTCCTCGCTGCCCCTCCACTCCCTCTGACCAACCGTAGCTGTAACGCAGGCACAGAGTAGGCCGTCCACAGGTGAACAAAAAGACCGTCCACTCCATTCAGAATAGAACTGCTAATTCAGCCACTTGAAGCCGGGGCCAGTGTCCATGGCCAATTCAACTTCATAAGCATGTCACCATGTTTCTTAGGGAGGCTAAGGTCAGAACAGCTTTATTCTCTGATTTCCTACCGTGAGAGGGAGGAGAACAAAGAAGCTTGAAATTCAAGTGTTGCCAGGAACAGCAGCACTCTTGAAAACAGAATTCAGGAGAGGATATGCAGACGGGAGCACCCATAATAGCATCAGGTTGCCAAGCCTCTCACACCTGAGATTGTCTGGGGTATGATTTCCTTTAAATGCTCCAACTCTACTGGGTATTAGCAAATGCAAGACAGTGGAAGTTGGCTGTTTAAGTCAAAATAAAATGCTGTGGAGTCTCACGCGCTGAGGAAATGGTGAGTAAACACATCTGCAAAAGGGAAGTTGGTTATTTTTCTCAGTAGTGGTCAGGATAAGAAACTGTGATGAAAATGCAGTGCTCTTCTCAGATTGTGAAGGATCAGATGACCAGAAAGCCAACCGTATCCTGG